TACTGCTCAGAATCACATTTTATTTTAAAGACAGATGATGATATGTTTATCAATATGCCTTTACTCCTCACTTTCATCGACTCCAAGATTAATGACCGGCGTGTCATGTATGGACGGCTTGCCAAGGGCTGGAAGCCTGTCCGGAATAAGAAGAGCAAGTACTACATTGACACTAGTACTTACAGTAAGACTAGATATCCAGATTTCCTCACCGGGCCGGCCTACCTCTTCACCAACGACGTGGTCGATGACATCTATCAGAAAGCCCTTGGCACTACTTTCTTCGTATTAGAAGACGTGTTGGTGACTGGAATTGTTGGGGAGAGTTTAAGAATTAAGAGAGTAGGAGACTCACGATTTAGAAATGAGAAGATTAAATTAACCGATACATGTAGTCTAATGAAAACAATTTCAATCCATATGGTTAAATATGAAGAACAGTTTGATATATACAAACGGACACTAGATGGGAAGGCGAAATGTAAAACTGGATAGTAAACATTAGGCAAGCCCTTGCCATTCCCCAGAGGCAAAGGCTCAATATTGTCAGGAATTGTTTACCATGTGATAGATAAAATATGATTTATGCTCAAAACATGGCTCTTTGGAAGTCTGTGATTCTCCATTTCATAAGGTGTAATGGAAGTCAAGAGACAGTTTCATTAATGTCTAGTCCTTCATTGCATGTGGTAATAAGGGAAAGCAATGTCTTTGTGAGCTCTGGAGTTGATTTTTGAAAAGAAAAGTACAGAAAAGTGAGAATGGAACTGCCAGTGAGCTGAAGTGCTGGAAATCAGAGCCAAAGATGATCCAATGGTGAGAAGTCGTACAGAATGTTGTGAGAAATTTGTGAATTTGTTCTAGGAAGTGTAGAGACTGAGAGCTCCCACTTTGTCCAAACTTCAGAAAATTGAAATAGAGCCTTTTGTGGTGTGCTGAATATTTGAGAATTAACACTTGATTATTTTAGTGATAGAAAATGAACAAGAAGGACTGAACACTTTGCTATCTGTGATCTGAATCCATTTTCTCATTGCTTTCTCAAGTTTGTTGGAGTGACCTAAGTCAGCTTGCAGTGTTTTTAAGATGTTCCTAGTGTGAGAAAATATGGTCAGGGTTAATTAATTGCACAAGAATTTTCAGTGTTATGACATCATATTTGCACAAAGATTGAACTGTATTTGTAGTATTTACTATGGATAATACCCAGGTGGTATTAGACTCATTAAATTGTATATTGTATATCATATACAATTTTTTATTATCAAATATATATTTTTCTTGCTGTCTCTGGAATAATAGTGTGAGTAAAAAAAAAGTGAATAAATAGGTTGAACTAAATATAAATACATGTATATTCCACTTTTGCAATGACTGTGAACACCATCATTATTGTAACTTTACACACAGAAGGGAAAGTGTTTTGGAAAAAAAAAGATTATTGCACTTCAGATTGCAGGTTTTGCTACGCACTTGCATGTGTATAAACTTCAGTACCATGGACTGGTGTGAATCATCATTGTCATATTTGTGTGTTACCGTTCTATGAGTCCATCTGTTCATTGATGCTTGTAGGAAATACTCCTCAGTGGCCTCATTCATTGTAGATGATAGTTGCATATATTCCTTTTTTATCTTTTTATTATTGTTATGATTAAATTGTTATTATTATTATTATCATCATCATATTTTTTTATTGTTGTTGTTATTGTTATTATATTTTTTATATTTTTATTATCATTATCATTATTTTTTATTAATACTATTATCCTCATCATTATCAATATCATTATTGTTGTTGATATTTTTATTTGTACTATTATTATTATTATTATTATTATTATTATTATCATTATCATTATTATCATTTTTATCAACATTATCATTATCATCATCATCCTCGTCATTAACACATTTCTCTAGGCTCTGCTGTTGTATGGAATATTGTTCATACTAGTCATGAGAAGGCAATCCAGAGAATATTAGTTGTTGTTGGAACTGAGTTTGTCATTGTGGCAATATCATTTTATTTCCAGTCGCTTGATTTACAGTATTATGATTTTAAAGATGTTGATTCCATTTACCAGATCACAAGCAAGGGTTAGCAGGACAGCAAAGCAATATCATATCTGCGGTAACAAAACAAATGACAGGCTTGTGTGCTTTGGTTGATATTGAACAGTTCACAAGGATAAGAAAGCCATATTGAGTCTTGTAAATACCCCTTGGTTTCATTTCTTGCTGCTTGTTTAATTCTGGTGTTCAACTGTTGTCTCACAGGCAACTTTGACATCAAGTGTTGACTGGTGATTAGCCTGTTAAGGGTATCACTTCGGTTAACTTTGCATTTAGCTTGTTTATAGTATGAATTATTACTGTGTATTTCAGGAATGGCATTTGTTGTGGATCACCAGTTAAAGCATTGATAAGCATTCTCTCTCCCCTTCTCCCTCTGCCTCTCCCTCTCCCTCTCCCTCTCCCTCTCCCTCTCCCTCCCTCTCCCTCCTCCTCCCCTCCCTCTCCCTCCCTCCTTCCCTCCCTCTCCCTCCTTCCTTCCCTCCCTCTCTCCCCCTCTCTCCCCTTCTCCCCCTCCTCCCCCCTCTCCCTCCCTCTCTCCCTCTCTCCCTCTCTCTCTCTCTCTCTCTTGCTCCCTCTCTCTCGCGCTCTCTCTCGCGCTCTCTCTCTCGCGCTCTCTCTCTCTCTCTCTCTCTCTCTCTCTCTCTCTCTCTCTCTCTCTCTCTCTCTCTCTCTCTCTCTCTCTCTCTCTCTCTCTCTCTCTCTCTCTCTCTCTCTATATATATATATATATATATCCCTCTCCCTCTCCCTCCTTCCCTCCCTCCCTCTCCTTATTTCTTTATTGATTGCTTTATTGATATTGATTGAGTTTTCTTTCACAAACATGCCAACTTTTTATCAAGACTTTCAGAACCCACCGGTGATTAATTTTTCCCTTTGTTGCCAAACTTAAGTTACGCCCAGTGTAACAAGAAATCATGAAAATCATAATGGCAGTAGGCTGTATGCTAGGTTAGAGCTGGCCTATGAAATCAATCAGGACAGACAATAGTATGTGTCTCATAACCCAAGTGACCTGGCTTCAGCTCTGTGCTACCTCCAGCAGGTTATTGGACTGTCCATGTGTTTCTTGCATACACAGGGATTGGGCAGATCTCAGCTAATCACTTACAGCATGTTATAACCTTGTGGGAAATTGAAGCAATTTTTGTACTATGGAATTTTAATTATGAGTGTGTAAGTTACCAAGAGGGAAGATTTTTCCAATAAGTACCATGTAATTGGAAGAACTATACAGGCCAAAAAAGAATGATGTAGAAAGTGTTTTAAGAATTTCATGTATAGTAATTTTTTACATTTCTTTAGCAGAATGAAGTGGTAGACTGTATAACATCTAATGTCGAAACATATTTCCCCTGCCAGTGTGCTGGCTTCTCTTTAAGGCCATTCATTTTTACTTATTACTGTTCATCTGGGTTACTTTTGCTTTTCTTAAATGTGTGTGTGCATGCATGTGTGTGTATGTGTGTGTGTGTGTGTGTAAGTGTAAGTGTAAGTGCTTCTATGTGTGTGCATGGGTGCACATGCATGCATGCATATGTGTGTGCTTGCTTACTTTCATCTCTCTGCTTGTACCTTTCAAACCCCTTTTGTTTCTCAGTCAGATTAAATATAAAGGCTATATACCTCCGTGACAGTATATGCATGTTTTGTTTATTGCATTTTGTAATATAGGTAATCACTGTGATACTTTTTTTCTCTTTTCTTTTCTTTTTTCCTTTTCTTTCTTTTTTTCTTTCTTTTCTTTGAAAATCCTTAAAGTTAGCTTCTGCTGAAAGTAACCCATCACAGTTCTTAGGATTTTATTACAATTCATCTTAAAAAAATGTGTAAGGCTGCCTCCTGGAGTGGACAATATACCTATATTTATTTTTCTTTCTTTATCTTTATTATATTCTTTTATTTCATATCTTCTTTTTTACCTTCTCTCAGTGTGTAAACTAGGTTTTTAATTAGACTGTTGACAGTAAAGAAATGTGTTGTGAAGTTTTTATAATAACTGAATATTGCCCGAGATGTCTGTGATATGAAAGAAGAAATATAAATGAGTAATGCTTGTATAAGAGGAAATATTTGACAAGCTCTGTTTTTAAGAGAAAAACATTTTGTCGGTTACACCATGATACTATTTCTCAATTCCTCAGAATTTTGAATGCAGCTTTTAAAAACTGATCTTAACTTGAGAATGGGTGAGGTGCTTCTTCTTCTGGTGGACTTTGTTATGTACATTTGTTTAAACTATGGACATGCATATGAAGTGCAGTAAGTTATGTTGGAGATTCCCCAAAGAATCTCAATTTTATCAGGATCATATGAAGGGGTTCCTGTTGAAAATTAAATGTTAATCCTTAATTCAATGTTATGATAATTGTCATCATGCAATCATTAGTTCTTTTAATATCCAGCGGAATGATGTTAGTGGACGTAAATAGGGCCCGATAAAATCACTAAACGTTTGTAATCCATTTGGGTGAGATGGTCCAAAGAGCTAAGAGTGCATTTGGATTTTAGTGAAGATATTGTATCTCATTCTTATATTTGTACCATATCTCTTTGATTTTATCTGCATAATTCATTTATATACATGTTCATGATGGAAGCTGAGAGGGAATGGGGGCTTTGTTTGCATGATACATATTCAGGCAAATGTGTCTGGAGTCTTAACTTTTTTATATTGGTGAAGAATTATTTGTGGATGGCAATTTTGAATGTTGAAGCATACAAGCCTACTGTAGGGAGCAGCAGATGTGTATCCTTCTAGGTAGTACATCATTGTGCTAAGCAGGTCCACTAATAACAGTTTTGACATTTTATTTAATATATCCCCCAAGTCTCTAGAAATCCCTTTCTGTGTCAAAGCCTGTGTCATATTGTAAAGTCTTTAATGCCATGCAGATGTTTTCATATCATTGTGAAGGAGCAATTCACTGGAATGTTCATCTTCACTCGAAGATCAGTGCCATTGAACACTGAGTTGAGATGTTTTGGCAGCTCTGTCCTTGTTATTCATATCTCACTTTCCTTGGTTTCAAAAGACATCCACTTGTGAAAGCTAATTTGCCAATGGCAGCAGTACACAAAATGGATTTATATGCTTTCCATGGCAGACTCTTAATGAGGTAGATTAAGATCCTGTAAAATGAGCTAATAATAACCTTTTGTGGACTGTTCCTATGGAATTTAAAAATTCAGACTCCATTTGTACAGTTTATTATTGTAAAGTTCATATATTTTGTATGGTATTGAATTCAGTGTCTGTAATCTTTATTCTATCTTTCAAGGAATTATTGAGAATAAGTCAATGAGTTTTAGGGATGAGACAAGCTGAGGTGTGTGGCAATGATATCGTCATTTGTAATATGTGTGTATATATTGTTCAGAGATGAGTATTCATCAACATGTTTTTCATTTTATATGTGCATATATGCATTTAGGACACAAACATACATTTTCTGGTAATCACATATAAAGAGTATGTGTTTTTGTCTGATTTTAGAAGGATAAAGTACTCAGCTTGTGCCTTTTCTCATGAGTTTCATTGATAGCTTTTCATATCTCGCACATACACACACACATGCACACGCATACACATATACACACACACAGTTTGGCAGCAATATTTTTTTCAGTAATATAGATAGTATTTTTGTATGTAGATTTTATCCATCACAATTGGCAAAGAATCCAAAGCCAAGAATGGTAAAATGTCATCCAGTCCAGCTAAGAAATAGGAAGACTTTTACACAAAAAAATAATGTAGGTGAACAAATAAAAAAGAATTTTAAAAAATAATAACCCAAGAAAATTATATTATACATACCAATACTTACTTGATGTTGCATGGTTTGTACCATTTACTCATGCGATTTGTTTCATCCCAGGTGTTCCCTACTCTAAGTTTACTCTGAATATCTGTAGATAGGAATAAACACAGTTTAGAGTATGAAAGTAAACTTCCTTTTCATTTGTCTCTGTATCTGAAGGCTCTTTATCAAGGAAAGGCACAAAACCAGAAAAATACATAGAGGATGGTTGTGTTAAATCTTGTGTGTGGTTTCTTGCTTATGTTGTATTTTGATTGTGTGACTGAACATCCTTTTGATCACTGCATTCCTGAGTGTGTGCTCAGTTAGTAGGGAATGTGTCTGTATGTGTGGTTGTTTTAGTGTGTAATTGTACTTAATATCTACTAGTCATCATACTATGTTTCAATGATGCATTATCCATATAAAATTTCCCTCCATTCTTTCACTTGAATTAGCAAACCATTCCAGTTAATCTTTCATGTTTATGCCTGACGTCGCACAGGTCAGTCCCTCCCGCGAGGATAACGGACCCATCATCAGCTCTCCACGGAAAAACATCTCTCCAGATATTCATCTCTTAAGAAACTATTATTTATCAGGGCATAACTTGCATTATTGTATCTCTCATCCATATTTCCTTCTAGACTTTCATTTATACACTCGACTCTACATTTTTCACAAGCTCTCAACAAAGGACGGCCTCCTTGCCCTCAGCTCGCCTCCCAGTTGTCTCATCCGCCACGGGAACTAGTGCCTTGTTAGGTTTAAGTTGCTGCTTAACTTCTGCTGGTCCTCACTATTCCCAAGCTTATGTTCTATATAGGGGTGAAGCATTCTGAACCCTCTGTTGTAAATAAAGTATTAATATATTTTATAGTATTTGATGGTATTATTTTCTCCCTTTTTCAAAGATGTGATGGCTTTTTATTTCCATATTCATAAATTTTAGAAAAAAATAAGAATTCTTTTGAATTATAATGAATCAAGATTGGAATGATAACTGAGAGCAACAGACAAGGATAATTATACAAACTGCACTGTATAGTGTGTGATATTTTGAAAATCTAAATTAGAATTTGAACTTTTCCTACTTGGACTCACTAAAGAGTATCTCAACTAATTCAGTATTGAATTAAATTATTGAAATCATTGATGAGTCCATTAAAATCAACAAAAGGCTTAAGTTTGACAAAAACAAAAATCAAATGGCAATATTCTAACTTCCATTATATTCTTTATGGAGGAAGTATGCATTTTTCCATTGAGTACTGCCCACTTAATAATACGTTCATGATTTGTGGTCTTAGCAAATTGGTATGAACACAAAATCTCGAAAATGGTGAAAAATTATACTTGTGTTATGAAAAGAGCTGTGACTAGAATTCATTTGAGATTATCCATTATCACTCTCGATGTGAAATTACTAAGAAAAAATGATAGTTGAGATAAGAAATAAACTTATTTTGCCACACCAAATTCAATATACTTTAAGATATTACTGCAGTGTTAAAAGAAATCTAAACTGAAAATTAAGAAAAAAAAAACTACTGGCAATTCCCTGTATATTGCCTACAAGATAATGCATACATATCAAGGTACACACATTCACAATTCC